AAAGTATATTAATTCTTAATTTCCTTTTAATTTATAAGAGTTTTTTAATTGCTTTGAATTTGTACAAATGAATTTCATTTAAAAATATTTCAATTTTTATGACCTTTTTAACTTTTCTCTGATTAATGAAAATTTTAACAATATTCCACTCAAAATCAAATAAGATAATTTAACACCTCTGTTTATAATAAACAGTGCATCAGTTATTTTCATTTGGTTTACTTTGATTCTGATATACATTGTTTCAAAAAAGATTCCATATTATTTACACCGACTAGATTTTAAATACTATGATGATATCCCAAATAAAAAACCCAGCTTGATCCTTAAAATTAAATACCTAATTTTAGCTATGAAAATATCTATAACAAGTTTTTGTCTAAAAGTATTACGAGAATTCTTTTGTAGTGGAATATATAGAGTTTTGATTACAACTGCTTATGATTTTAATTTTGCTATAGTCCTTTAATTGTATTCATTAGACATAATGTCATAGAATATTTTAATAAGATTATCCTCAATACTTGCATTATTAACATTTTTCTTCTACTTATTTATTATTTTTCATATAATTAAACTCAGTAGTTAAGATAAATATGCATTTGCAAATTATCAAAATAACCTCAAATATGGAACATTATTCGAGGGTATTAAGAAGAATAATGTAGGCAAATATTTTAATGCTATCCTGCTGATTAAGAAACTATTTTTTATGTTAACTTTAATATTTTGTTATGAAGCTCCATCTGTTTAGATAATAAATTTAATTATCTTTACTTCTGTACAAGCTTATTTCTTACTATCTTTTAAACCACTTACTGATTCTAAGGAATTCATAAAACAATTTAGCTGCGAACTTAATATTACTATCACATTATTATTATTATTGATATTAAGTTTGAATGAATAATTAAGAATATTGACAGAAGATATGAAAGATTATTTAGGATGGGGTTGCATTGCAAGTATCACTGCTATTTTATTAATATAATTAATTTTAGATGCTATTCAACAATGGATATTTCTATTATAAAAGTATAAAAAGTTAAAAAGATTTATAAATAATCTATTAAAACTATTTAAACCAACCTTATTAAAAGAAATCGATCATAACATATTTATGACAGCATGAAAGTAAATTGATTTTTATAATATTAATAAATTATAAATGCGTTGAAAAGTTTATTATTATATATTATTCTAAGATCAATCTATGAAATTGTACTTTTTTTTAAGATTAGTTTCATCATACTAAAGTAAATGGTAAGTTTTTCTGTCATTTACATAAAGACCTTTAAATTTTTCATTAAATTTTAAGGAAATATTAATGTTTAATTCAATTATTTAATAATTTGTTTATTTAAAATACTTGAATTTTATAGGAAATAATTGTTTTGTTTTTCAAAATATAAGGTAGAATTTTTAGTAACTTATTAACATTTTCAAAATAATTGGAATTTTTTTAAATGCAAATGCTGTCCTCAATCCCTCAATTCTCGAAGAACTCAACATTTCATGATAATATACTATTAATAAAATCTCGATTAAACTCGAAATATCAGTATATACATTTTTTTCTTTCTCTAAGATTATTTGCATTAATTTTCGATTTTATTATATGGATAGATACATACTTTATTTTCTGGAAGATGGATTTAATTTGATTATTATGTACAAGACTAAAAATCTTGATAGGTTTGGACCATCACAATCTTAAAAGCCAAGATTTATAATTAAGGGTTATTTCTTGTAAATTACCATATTTAAAAACTGAAAATTATTAAATTAATAAACATTATTATTATTAATTTTCTATCCATTATAGAATGTAATTTCCCCTTTTAATTTAGACTTTAATAAATCTACTCTATACCAAATTATTATTTAATTTTAAATTAATCATTTTTTCTTAAATAAAAGGATCATCCGAAAAATCGATTGAAATATCTGGAAAAAGTATAATTATATGTAGTAATTTCTAATCATTGTATTTTTGAGAGATATGATAGAATAATTAGAAAGGAGATAAGTTTTTGAATCTATAATTCTGGATATTATAAACTGGCTGAAACCTTCATTAATTAATAACTAAATATTCCATATGAGTTTTTATTTTCATTTATTCAAATCCATCCTATTAGAGAGAGGGAATCACCATTAAAGTTTCTGATATAAATTAGTATTATTATTAATTTAAAAATCATTTAATATTGTTGATTTTTAACACAAACACTAGAATTAAACTTTAATTTTTATTTAATCTTAAAGACTATTAATGAAATTAAAATCAAGATCTAAATTTTAATGAATGGATACTTTTTATAACCTTATTAGGCCTGAAAATAAGAAAACCCATCATTTAACTATATTTCTGAATTTAGTACTTAAAAAAAAATTACCTCCAAAATGTAATATTAAATTAATTTCTTTTGTTTTTTGAATTACTACAACTTATTTCTTTGTTACTATCAAATGGAGCATATCTAATTTGGATCATACTATTTTTTGAAAGCAATACCAAATATTTTCATAATAAAATGAATCAATTCTTAGTAATAGGAAAGGGAATTATTTTATTCTTACAAATCTTCAAGTGTAATGACTCGATTGAATATCTTTTTGAGTTTATTTACAAAACATAGTTTACAAATTTCTTTCTAAATCAGAGTTAATAATATAATACTAAAATTATAATGTCATTAAATTTCACTACTATGGAAGGGCTCAAGAATTTTATTTATTATATCTTTTAATGGTAGTTTCAAATAAGTTTTGAAACAATAATACAATGTGTTGGCTATTATTTTAAGATTTTCTGATAATGTATTGTCAATAAAATTAATTACTAACATATGAAAACAGTATATTATCATTAATATATTCAAATACTCAAAGTACTCAAAAAATAACTGATTTGAATGATATCTTTTTATTATAATTTGGAGCCCATTTTTATTAGTTAAAAAAGTTTTAACCTTGACTTTTTACGAAATCCAAAGGGTGATACTAAAATAAGTTTAAAAATAAAAACCAATTTTTAAATAAAGATTAATACAATTAATTCTTAGGGTAAGTTTCATGATTATATGAAGTGTATAATTGTAATTCATTATGATCCTGGTTTATAAAATAAAATGTTGTATTTTCTTTTATTCAAAATTGTTTTAAAGAAGTAAATGACTTTTTGATGTTTTTGAATCTGATTTTATAAATTATTTGTTAATATAGTATATTTTTTCATATTTTAACTTTTTAAAATATCTATAATTGGTTTACTTTTATTAAATAAACCATAAAATTGGATTTAAATATTATTAAATTTTATGACATAATTTGATCTTTCTCCATAATTATTAGCTTATAATTATTTTAAATCACTTATAGCACAATTCAATCTAATATTTTTGCATCCACATTTCCTAATTAAAGTCATCTTGGACAAGTCATACCAAAGATAACTAATATTATAAGCTGTAATTATATAAAAATAATAATTATGATTATTATAAAGAAATCAAATTTTTTTTTTATTAAAATATATTTAATTTAATTATAATCTAATATTTAATTGATTGACTGAATATATCTAATTCGTTAAAATATATAGTTTTATCCTTTATTTTAATATTATATTAATGATTTAAAGGGGTTATTGTTAAAAGTATTTAAATTTTAATTGCAAGTCTTATAAACATATTTTAATAAAACAATCTATTAGAAATTTAGTTAAAGTAAAATCAAGATATATTATTCTTTATAAATATTGTTAAGATAGTTAAGTGTTGTTCTCTCTTATTTGNATAGTTTACAAATTTCTTTCTAAATCAGAGTTAATAATATAATACTAAAATTATAATGTCATTAAATTTCACTACTATGGAAGGGCTCAAGAATTTTATTTATTATATCTTTTAATGGTAGTTTCAAATAAGTTTTGAAACAATAATACAATGTGTTGGCTATTATTTTAAGATTTTCTGATAATGTATTGTCAATAAAATTAATTACTAACATATGAAAACAGTATATTATCATTAATATATTCAAATACTCAAAGTACTCAAAAAATAACTGATTTGAATGATATCTTTTTATTATAATTTGGAGCCCATTTTTATTAGTTAAAAAAGTTTTAACCTTGACTTTTTACGAAATCCAAAGGGTGATACTAAAATAAGTTTAAAAATAAAAACCAATTTTTAAATAAAGATTAATACAATTAATTCTTAGGGTAAGTTTCATGATTATATGAAGTGTATAATTGTAATTCATTATGATCCTGGTTTATAAAATAAAATGTTGTATTTTCTTTTATTCAAAATTGTTTTAAAGAAGTAAATGACTTTTTGATGTTTTTGAATCTGATTTTATAAATTATTTGTTAATATAGTATATTTTTTCATATTTTAACTTTTTAAAATATCTATAATTGGTTTACTTTTATTAAATAAACCATAAAATTGGATTTAAATATTATTAAATTTTATGACATAATTTGATCTTTCTCCATAATTATTAGCTTATAATTATTTTAAATCACTTATAGCACAATTCAATCTAATATTTTTGCATCCACATTTCCTAATTAAAGTCATCTTGGACAAGTCATACCAAAGATAACTAATATTATAAGCTGTAATTATATAAAAATAATAATTATGATTATTATAAAGAAATCAAATTTTTTTTTTATTAAAATATATTTAATTTAATTATAATCTAATATTTAATTGATTGACTGAATATATCTAATTCGTTAAAATATATAGTTTTATCCTTTATTTTAATATTATATTAATGATTTAAAGGGGTTATTGTTAAAAGTATTTAAATTTTAATTGCAAGTCTTATAAACATATTTTAATAAAACAATCTATTAGAAATTTAGTTAAAGTAAAATCAAGATATATTATTCTTTATAAATATTGTTAAGATAGTTAAGTGTTGTTCTCTCTTATTTGAATGAAATTCGTTTTATCTTGAATTTAATATTAATTTTAATGCCACCTTTAATTTCATTTCTCAAAATATTGTTTCTGAAATCAATAATATATGAAAATTGTTTAACAGATGATGTTGCTGATTGTAGATATACAGATTTTTAAATTGTTGGAACGAATGATGCAACTTTAGATAGGTGTGGATCACAACCTAAAAATTTATTTATGGGGCCTTATGGATTTAAAACTTAAGTAACCAAGACATTTACAAATGTTCCCCCTAATAATTTAATTGAATTATAAGTTGGTATTTGGAAATTAGACTCTTGGGATAAAGAAGGATTTGAGATTTATGCAAATGAAGTGTAAATTGAAAATTTAATATTGAATTATGATGATGGTACAATGATTTGTAGAACAGAATTTTGGTAGGATTTGCTTTAGCCTCTTTCACTAAAGTTTTAAATAATAGGAACTGATTTAACTATTAAGTTAAAAGACAATTTAAATTCTAATTCTTGGTTAGAAGATCTAAATGATGGTATTAATTGAATGATTTCTAGAATCTTGGGGATTTAGAGACATAATTTTAAGACTTGCTGTTCCTTGTGTGAATTTTTATAGTGAATGTAATTACAATGGAATGTTATTATAAATATGCTAAGGAGAGTAATCAAAATTGTAAAACTAAATTCCTTTTGAAATCAAATCAATACTCATGGGTCCTGGAATTATTGTTAAATTGAAAAGCCCAAACTACTTTGAAGGAGTATTATAAGAGTTTTCTTCCTCATAGACTTGTTTGAATAGTTTTTAGGTATTCATGTAATATTTATTTTCAGTTTCCAAAAGTTATCTATCAAGAATGATTAATAAAAAGATTATTAAAAGATATTTTTATAATATTTAGTTCTCATAAAAATGCATATTATTAATATCATTAATGTTTAGAATTAGTCTCCACCATATTTTATTCTTTTTCCAATAAAAATAAAAAAATGAGCGATTTGATTTTTGTATTTCTTAAAACTTTTTTCTCTCATACTTCAATTTATTTATAAAAAATTTTATTTTTGATATATGATTTAATATAATATGGCCATTTCAATCATTAGTGATTTTGCATTAGTGCCCATAATTGATAATCATTTACTAAATCATTTGGTTTGGTTGATATAAAAAAATATGTTATAATTTCAATTATTATAATTTATAATTTGGAAAATTAAATTCACCGTTATTTTAGTTCAAATATTAAAATAAAAATTATATAATTTTTATTTAATGTTTAAAGTTTATTTCCAAAATTCTTAGCATATAAGGACTTAATTGAAATTTTTCATCTTTTGATGGAAGCTTTTTCTGATTATTATTATTGGTTTGAAGTCAATTTTGAGTCCTCTCAAAATTCTAAAATATAAACAATATGAATTCTATATGAAAGTTTAAGGTAAAAGCAGAAATTTTGCTATAAGATATTTGAAGATCAATCTTAGATAATTAGTAGTTTGCTTTTAGTTATAACATGGTTGAATGAATTCATATATATAATTTAATATTAATTGAATTCTAGAAAAAAACCCAAATAATCCAAAAATTTTGTATTTAATTAATTATCAAATGATGATTTGACATACATATTTATTTTAAGGTTGCTTGTTTAGTTGCTAAATCGTAAAGGAATTTAAATAATTTTGAGTTATTAGAAATATAAAAGAGATCTGGAATAATACAAGGGTCTCTTGTGAGCCAGAGTTTCAGATTACTTTTTAATTTTTTACATTACCTACATTATATTACCTTTAACATTATGATTTCGTTAATTTAAATAGATAAAAAGTTAGCAATTTCTTTCATGTATGAATCTAATTAAGATAAAAAAAAATGGTAAAATCAGTTTTAAAAAGTCTCCCTTAGATATTTTATTAATTTTCATGATTATGCTTTATCATTACAAATGGTAGGAAATTCAAATAAATTTTGATTCTCCGATATCACATCATTAAATTACTTTTAATGTTTACATTTTCTATTGATGTTTATTTTTTATCGAAGTAAACCAGAATTTCATTTTTTGAAGAAAATAATAAACATATAGATGTAATTACTCAAACACTCCTAATTAAAATTAAAAATTAAAATAAATGATTTAATTAATTCCACATTTCATCGTTAATTAGACTTTAGATTTAAAAATTAAGTTTTTCCAAAGTAAATAAAATCAGATTATTACATGATTTTAATAAACTAATAGCTTCTGAACTTAATGAGGCAATCTTATCAAATATTAAAATAAATAAGATTTATTCTAGACCCTCTTTGGAAAGTCTTTTTAACAATTATATTTATGTTGCAAGAGAATTTTCAATCTTTATCTTGATTCTATTAATTTTGAGCATAAAAAAAATATAAGTATACAATCAAATAAGGTATCTTACAGACCTTAAATAGTTTTGAGGTAGGTAAAAGAAAATCGAGAATTTAAGGGTATGAAGATTGGATCTATAGGTAGAAAGAGAATATACATGCTCAAAATCTGAACTGCAATTCTAAGATTTATAGGAATATACAATAGATGATTAAGCTGGAAGGATTTAAAAGAGTAAACTCAAAATAACAATAGAAACTAAGTTATTTAGTAGATTGATACATTAAGTATGGGGTATAGAAGTAGATAATAGTAGTAAGAATAAATAAAAGATATATAGTGAGAAGGGCTTCTCATCTATCGATTGTTATATCAAAAATAATTAACATGCTTATCCATACAAAGTAAATGTGGAAAGAGTTAATGATAAAATTATAATAAAATATTATCACTATAAGAGTTATTTTCGTCTAAAGTATATAAAATTTTTAATAAACTATTTCTATTTATCTATCCCAATCCATGAAGTATAATTATCGTTCTTTGATTCAACTCAATTATCGAAAATCACAAATCTTCTTGTAGAGCTAATAATCTCTTAATTATATTTTTGACAGTATACTTAATAACTTCAAAAACAACTCAATAGAACCTAATCTACTAAATCATTCCCTAATGATATAATTTTTTCATTAAATGAATATAATCAAAATGAGTTTTGACATTAGAAAACTATAAATATATATATTATTTTCACATAAATAATATAATTATTAGTTATTGATATTTTTCTTCTAAATTCTATTCATCTGACTTATTAAATGTCTTAAATATACAATAGATTCTCTTGTTTTTCAATACTAAAATAGATTTTTAAGCTTATCTCAATTGTGAAAATATTAAAGGAATATAAAATATCTAATTAAAAGGTGGATTTTTAATGTATTTCTTCTACTCAATCCACAGAACTAAAAACCCTTAATTTACTTGAACCCTTTCGAAAAAAAGATTAAGTTAATTACTTAACACCAGAGTTTCAAAATTAGATATTATATGTTGTAATATTTAAAAGTGTAATAGTAGATCATTATATATCCTGTATTCTCATCTGAATCAATGAATTAGATGTTAATATGAGTGAATGTAGTATATTTCATGAGTAATGTTTCATTACTCTCTATTTTGAAGTAAAGAACTGGTCCAGATGAATTAATGTTATTAGATTTTTTAAATAAATTGTAGCAAATAAATTAAACATTTCCATTAAGAACTCTGATTTGGAATATTTATTATATTTATTCAAAACGATTTCTTCACTTTTCTGGAGTTCTCACTATAAATAAGATAATTAGATACAATATTCAAATAACATTTATTTTTGAATTGATATAGATTTAGCTTTAATTTACATCTCATTATCTAATAATCAAACAAATTTATTGTTACAATAACAATTATATTCAGAGATTATTTAATTTAATTGTATAGTAGATATATAGTTTTATTTACAAATTAGTGTATTTTATAATCAATAAAAATGATCATTTATTCATAGAATAATGAATAAGGTTTAGCTGTTTTTATTATTAATTGATGAATAACTATTTAAGATACATCATATAAATATAGTGTTATAATAAGTCTACATTTTAAGTAAATCTTGTTAAGCAATCTACACCTTAATGAAAACCTATCAATAATAAATTATTAAACGTTATTTCTAGTTATAATTAATAATAGATCTCATATAACATAGGCTCTTTGTGTTGAGAAATCATTAATAAAAACATTTTATATTAAAAGATGTAGTAAAGTTGTAAATTATTATTCCTTTTTTGGGATTGAATTTAATGTATTTGAAATCAAATTTATTTTAATAATCATAAATAACCATATTTAAATACAACTTTCCTTAATTAAAATTAAGGATCAACTTTAATCATATTTTTATTTAGATTTGGTATTATAATTTAAATGAAAGATCTTTAATGTATAATGTGAAACATCATTATTTTTATATGTTACCCGAAATGATTTAATATACAAATACAATTTGAACAAAAATTACCAAAATTTTCACACTTACTATTAATTAATTTGTATCCACAAGAAAAACTAATGAATTTAGATATTAGTATATACTTCAATATCCTTATATGATTTTAGCATTTGGCTTCCTATAGAATCTTATAATACGTATTTATTATTCTAAAAATAATGATTCTCTTAAAAATTAGATATATTTTAGCCTATAAATGTCTTAATTGTCCAAATTCAAAACCATTGTAAAATCATTATCTTTATTACAATAATTAGATGCACCTACAATAAATTATAAATTGAAATTCTAATCAATAAAATAAATATCGTTGTTTAAACTTGATCTTTATTATTTTAGATACTTATCATCTGATTTTGCTCTCTTTTCAGTGAAATAGTTAGTTTTACTTAAAGGAAATAGAGGCCAAATATTATGATCAAATAACAATAAATAATATCATGAGAGCAAAATATAAAATATCTAAATACACTGTAATTTATATATCAAAATAGGAAAAAAATTGAACTGTTTACTCCTAATTTAATTGGATAAATTAAAATTAATATAATTTAAGCTTTGATAAAGTAAATAGTATGAAAAATGTAAAACATAAATTTATAATCTATTATTATTTGAATGATAACACTTAATCTAAATTGAAAAACTATTCTCTAAGAATTACTTAAGGATTATATAAAATAATTAACAGAAATAAAATTAAATATTTTATCATTTATACTAGTTGTTTAGAACAACACATTTTTGATTTTTATATATATTTAATATAAAAAATATTAATTATAAAATACAATTTTAATTTGAAACATATTCTCATTAATAGTATTTCAAATTATTAATGATAAATTATTATCAAAAGGTAATACTTATTATTGAATCAGAATAAATAAATTTTACCATTTTTATATTAAATTCATCAAAATTTGATCCTCTATATTTGATATTGTTAAAAACTTGAATAAATCATCAGTTGATATTTTCAATAATTAATTTAAATAATATGATAAGAAGTGCAACTAATTTAAACTAGGCATCAAAATATTAGCCAATTTATTTCTTATTTGAAGTTATGACAATATGAAATTCTTTTGATTAAGGCTAATACAGTATAATTAAATATTAAATATTTATAAATGGAAAAAGGTGCTCTATCATCAAGATACAAAAAATCACATAAGAAGAAATTATGTTTTAAAATACTCATAGATTCAGGACATGAAGGCCTTGAGTTGTGAAGAAAAGGATTTGCCAGAATAATTGTGGCATTATGATATTTGATAGATTTAATAGTCATGATGCTCGATATGATTATTTTAATCAACTAGATATAGTTTTAATATATTATAAATTAAATTTTAGTCTAAAATCATTCGAGTGAAATATGTATTTATTCCTCATCCAACTACTTCAAATTCATTGGCCTAGTTGATTGTCATAAGTAGAATGCTCCAAGTGATTGAATAAATGATTGCAAGTATCTTAAGTATACTGCTAACTTTTTTATTTAATCTAATAAATTACAAGTTTATATTGTATTTATGAACTTAAATATTTTATAGAAAGTGTTTTACTCATAAAGGAATGGTTAAGATTATGAATTAGGTTTTCGAACCCTGAAGAATGTCAGTATAATGACTAATATAATTGGGTTTACATTTAACTTAACCTGATATAAGTATAAATTATACATTTTTGAAGTAAAATTAGATGAAAATGACGATTTAAAGAAAATATTACAATTATATTGATAAGTTTTAGAATAAAATTATGAGCCTAAGAGGTTGATGTGAGAATTTAGAGTCAAAAGAGAAATATATTGAAGAAATTATAAAAAATGACTATTTTAAATATCAGAAAAATAGAAGATTAAATTAATAAAATTTTTAATCACATTCTGAAAGAGAATAAGATTTAAAGACTATTTTATAGACATAAAATTAAAGAAACTTTTATTAAAATATCAGATTAACTGGAGTATTGGGACAATTATGATAAGCTGGTGAAGATTTAATTAATGTATTAATTCCTCTGTAGATTTAAGATTTAATAATTAAAACTATATTTAAAGAAATCTTCTATTTAAATGACAATAGATAATCAGCATGTATGGATATTATTTTTACTAATTTTCTAACTTGATCAGAATGTGATTTAGTAAATTATTAAATAAACCTACATAAATTTTAGAATAAAGTAATAGTACTATTGTTGGAAACCTTTTTAACAAACAATACTGATGCTAAATAACTATGATTGCAAAATTGACATACGATAAAGAGATGGATTGATCTTGATTGAACCTAGTAATATAAGAGAACATAATAGGAATCCAGAAAAGTATATTATTATAGGGTACGGAATTACTCTAGAAAAAGGAGGTGGACCATTCATATTAATCCACTATTTTTCATAAGAATATTGCAGCGAAGATGTTAACTTCAATTTTTTAAATGGGTTTTCTTAATTTAATTTTAGTGATAATCTCCAACCTACTTATGAAAATATGTATTTATTGTTTGAATAGAGTAAATGATATATTTAAATTAGATTATATATTTCAAGTTCCTTAAAGAGTTGTGTAAAAAACTAAAGAATGCAATATTTTATATTTGAACAATAAAGTTGTAAACTAGGGTAGAATCATTCAATTTTACATAAAGTAGGGGGATTGCTAGACTCTTTCAATTTAGAATAAGTAGAGCTCCATTGTTTAAATATATTCTAATTCATACATATGTTCCTTAAAAATCCAGGGTTAACTTATTTGGATTGAGTTTCTAGAACATTGATCAAAAATATTGCAACTTCTTACTATAATAATCATTTATATGAGAAATACATGCTTTGATGACTGCAACATGTGACTTAGATTTTGCAAAACAAAAAAAAGTAGGAAATTACTCAAATAATCTTTATTTTTAAGTAATTTCAAAGGAGTAGAGCACTTTTGATAAAAATTTTGATCAATTAGGTCTTGGTTACAATAGTACTCCTATGATATTTCAATTTGGAAATAAAATTTTGTATATTAATTTTAATCAATAAATATGGAAGTCATAAGAAATTTTCAACATTATGATCTTTGCAAAATAACGCAATCAATACAATATTTGTTCTTCCTCATTACAACAAGCTTACTATCAATCTTATATTTTTGAATAATAGTAAATACAGTAATTTCTAGAATAGTTTTTAATTATTTAATTTTATAAATATTTTATTTAAGTGATAATATGATCTTTAAAGATTGTGAATATCATATTATTATTAAGATCTCAAAAATTTCAATTTATTGTTGAGCAAACAATAAGATACTCTAAAAGACTGTTATCTTTGTGATGGAATTTTAAATTCATAAAAATTGATATTTAATGAAATCAAGTGAATACTACAGATTATTGAAAGGAGTTATTGAATCTAACACTCACTTAGAAAAATAATTATTGTCTAATTTTAGACTATGTGATAGTTCATACGACATAGATAATAGAATTAAACATAATATAAGATTTTAATTTAATTCCAAAATCTTTCCTTGAGATTATGGATTGAATCTTAGAATTTTTGAATTAAATAGAACTCTATCATTTATAAAAGAATTCTATTTAAAATAAATCCTATTATATTGCGAATTAGATTATTATTCATGATTGTATTTTTGCAATATAAGGATGATTCAGAAATCATATTTTTTTTACCCCGATTAGATATACTGGTAAAATTAAGAAAGAGAAGAAATGAAATTCTAATATTTATGAGAGATTTCTATTCAATGCCAAAGTATTTGCAATGAGGAGAATAAAAGAATAAATTCTAAGATGGGTATATTAAATGTAGTTATATACTAAAAGGGCAATTAATCTATCAAATTTTAGTGTGCTTATGCTAAAAATGAAATATATATTTATAAAGACTTTGAGTACAAGATGGTACTTTTATAAAATTGATTTAACAAAAAGTGAATTTATTTTATATCCAAATTGCTCAATATCTAATTTTGAAACGATATTTATATTATCAAAGATTAACATTTTCTTTTTCTATTATTTAGTTTCAAAATTTTCATGAAATTCTATTTCTAAACTTTATCTAAATATATGACTCTAACTAACTTTTAAAATTTATTATACTTTTTATATATATAAATAAATTAAATATTGCATATTTTAATTTAAGTTGATTATGATTATAATTCATCAAATATCAACCAATGTGATTTATAACAGTTTCTATGGAGACCGTATAAATAGAATTGATAATATCAACTCATCTTCAGAAATTTAAATTAACATAATTTCATCTTTCAAAACTACTTTTTATAACCTAAAAGAATATGTTATTGTATGATCAACTGTTTAGTGGCATTGATTTAACCATATATTTTCTTAATTATTAGATCCATTCTCATAATTCGATATACTAAATTAACTTTAAACTTTCTTATTCTAAGAGCATTGGAAAATGATTTAAATATTTATATATGAATAATCTTTATCCATGATTTCTATATATTGACCAACTTGATTATAAACTTATTTTTCAAATTGGTCAATTTTTAGGTGAATTCTACTAGTTTAAGCAGATTTAATTTTGAATGTTTAAATAATGCTTAAGTCTGAGAATTAAAAATTAGTAGTTTCCTTAAAATTAGCATACTACTCTAGGTTAAAACATTTATGCTTAAATAAGAAATGATTATCTGGGCAACTAAAACAGCTACCCTCAAAGCAATACGAACAAGAACAAGGTTTTGAACATACATGACATCCATCCTCAAATATTATATTACCATCATCACATTATTCATCTGCAACAACTAATTTATCTCCACAAATAGGTGTACAAGTACCATTAATATTTTAAAATCCACTTTAACATACTGAACAACCATGTCCTCCGATACTACAGCTCAAACATTAAGAATTACATCTTGGATCAGGATAGTAATCATAAATTTTAAAGCAGGAATACTTAAGTAAATAATAACCTTCATGACAATCATAACAAACACCCTTGCGACAATCTGAACAAAAAATAGGACAACTAAAAGAACATTAATGACAACCATCACCAAAATTTAAGTTCCCATCATCACATTCTTCATCTTCTGTAACTATTTTATCTCCACAAATTGAAAAACATAAATTATCAATTCTATTGTAACCATTCTTACAAGCGTTACAACCTAGTCCAGTATTATCACAAGTAATGCAAGAGGATTAACATTTTGCTTAGCAATTCTAACAACCCTTATAGGGTAATATAAATGGAACTTCACATTGTTCATAAGGTACTATTATTTAATCTCCACATATTGGAATACATATTTTGGAATCAGAGAGCAAATAGTGAGGAGCACATTATTCGCATCGATTATTTACACAATTTAGGCAAATTGATGTTGGCTAACACTAAAATCAACAAAAGTTATTGCATCCATCATATTCAGTTTTATTTCCATCATCACATTCTTCAAAATAGATACTATATGGATCTTTTACAACAAACCCATCTCCACAATAATTTTTGCAATAAAACTTTTCTGGAGAAAATCCAGGTAATTCACAACTTAAACATTTATTAGTATTATAATTGCAAGAAGAACATCCAATTCTACAGAAATATTTACAATTTTTGCATCCATCTGTATCATCTTAATTTCCATCTTCACATTATTCTTATCCAACTATTAATTAATCTCCACATCTTTCTTTACATATCCAAGGTTAAACTGTCGGATCAACATACCAACCACCAGTATTACATTCAAAACATTATCCTTTAATGCATTTTGTACATTAAAGTTAACATTAAAATTTACAATCAAAGCATCCATCATATTATATAGTGTTTCCGTCTTCACATTCTTCCATTCCAGTAATCATTCCATCTCCACAAACATCAGGACAAGGTAAAGTAGTTGACTCATCACAAGTTAGACAATGAGCTGGACATTAAAATTAACAATTAAAGCATAAATCATCTAAAAGAGTATTATTATCTTCACATTATTCATATCCGTATATTTATAAATCTCCACAAATAGGTTAACATTCTCCATAAATTAAATGATATCCTTCATCACAAGAATTACAAGTAATTGTATGCCATAATTATTAATTATTAGCGCATAATTTATAACATGTACTTAATAAAATATCTTCTATATCTGGGCAATCTAAAATTAATAATAATCTAAATACTTGTACAAATACTATTTAATTCATAATAGCCAGGGGAACATACACATTATAATCCTTTTAATATTCTATTTAAAGATGTATCACAACTTAAACAACTATCAACTGTTCCTTGAAAACAAGTTTAACAGGATGAATGGCACTAAGAACATGATTTAGACACTGCATTATAAAATAATCCTGATGGACATCTACATGTTGATCCAACAATTTCAATATTACCAATATTATTACAAGTTAAACAATCATCAGAAGTAGGGCCAGTACAAGTGTTACAAAATTAATNAACACCCTTGCGACAATCTGAACAAAAAATAGGACAACTAAAAGAACATTAATGACAACCATCACCAAAATTTAAGTTCCCATCATCACATTCTTCATCTTCTGTAACTATTTTATCTCCACAAATTGAAAAACATAAATTATCAATTCTATTGTAACCATTCTTACAAGCGTTACAACCTAGTCCAGTATTATCACAAGTAATGCAAGAGGATTAACATTTTGCTTAGCAATTCTAACAACCCTTATAGGGTAATATAAATGGAACTTCACATTGTTCATAAGGTACTATTATTTAATCTCCACATATTGGAATACATATTTTGGAATCAGAGAGCAAATAGTGAGGAGCACATTATTCGCATCGATTATTTACACAATTTAGGCAAATTGATGTTGGCTAACACTAAAATCGACATTAGTTATTGCACCCATCAGAATTAGTGTTATTTCCATCATCACATTCTTCAAAATAGAATCCATATGGATCTTTTACAACAAACCCATCTCCACAATAATTTTTGCAATAAAACTTTTCTGGAGAAAATCCAGGTAATTCACAACTTAAACATTTATTAGTATTATAATTGCAAGAAGAACATCCAATTCTACAGAAATATTTACAATTTTTGCATCCATCTGTATCATCTTAATTTCCATCTTCACATTATTCTTATCCAACTATTAATTAATCTCCACATCTTTCTTTACATATCCAAGGTTAAACTGTCGGATCAACATACCAACCACCAGTATTACATTCAAAACATTATCCTTTAATGCATTTTGTACATTAAAGTTAACATTAAAATTTACAATCAAAGCATCCATCATATTATATAGTGTTTCCGTCTTCACATTCTTCCATTCCAGTAATCATTCCATCTCCACAAACATCAGGACAAGGTAAAGTAGTTGACTCATCACAAGTTAGACAATGAGCTGGACATTAAAATTAACAATTAAAGCATAAATCATCTAAAAGAGTATTATTATCTTCACATTATTCATATCCGTATATTTATAAATCTCCACAAATAGGTTAACATTCTCCATAAATTAAATGATATCCTTCATCACAAGAATTACAAGTAATTGTATGCCATAATTATTAATTATTAGTGCATAATTTATAACATGTACTTAATAAAATATCTTCTATATCTGGGCAATCTAAAATTAATAATAATCTAAATACTTGTACAAATACTATTTAATTCATAATAGCCAGGGGAACATACACATTATAATCCTTTTAATATTCTATTTAAAGATGTATCACAACTTAAACAACTATCAACTGTTCCTTGAAAACAAGTTTAACAGGATGAATGGCACTAAGAACATGATTTAGACACTGCATTATAAAATAATCCTGATGGACATCTACATGTTGATCCAACAATTTCAATATTACCAATATTATTACAAGTTAAACAATCATCAGAAGTAGGGCCAGTACAAGTGTTACAAAATTAATGACATCTTTAACATTAAGGATTCTCTAAAATTGAATAGTATCCATCAATACAAATACATTATTGATTTTACAATTTTCTATTATTTGTAACTAAACATTCTATACAATTGTTTGAACTTAAACATTAATTACATTCAATTGGACAATCAAAACATTGATTTGAATCTTCATATTGATTCAATTTACAAACACATCCTAATTTAGTTTATGTATAAGTAGATTAGCATGTTTAACAATCTATTTTAGATGTACATGTTAAACAAGATATTGGACAATCCAAACACCTATAAGTATCTATATCATAATATTAATTAATTTAACACTCTTCTTGTGAGAATTTTATAATATTTGCATCATAATCACTACTCCATTATGTACATGTAGTTTCATTTGAGCATTATAAACAATAAGGTTAGCATTTATGAACAGCGACATAATAATTATAAAATCCACAATAAGCTTTAATTGGTTCATTATTTGGGCCAAAGCATTCCCAACTTATTGTTAATGTACTTGTATTGTGATCTATCCTTTCATATACTCTTGCATATTTTATCTCACTAAAAATATTTGATTAAGTAAAATTTTCTCTTGATTTAGAAACTGGTGGATTGTTTTCAATTATATAAATGAATAAACCATCTGAAGGAAATGCTGGTCCACAAAATGTAAAAAATGCAATGGTAATCCCATGATGTGGGTAATCTATATTATGAATTCTTTAAAATTTAGCTTAAGCCCATATCAAAGGTCCTCCAAAAATTCTATATAGCCCTTAATTTTTATAAAGATTGAAATATGAAAAATATGTATCTGATCCTTTTAAGAAATTTGTCCCATTTTAAGAGATTAGTGTATATTGTGTGTATTATTCAGGATCGTGTGCTCCATCTAGAAAGTCATAAGCTAAATATTATGAGTCTATATATATATATAAAGTTGATACAAGGTGTTTCATCATCAAAATCAAAACATTAAGAACCATTTAATTTTTAATATCGTTCTGAACACTAACTGATGCATGTATTATTTTTATAATAATAGTATCCTGGTTAACAAATCTTACATTTAAATGATACTTCACACAATTAACAGCCGTATGGACAAAATCCTGGTGTAAAAGAAACTGATTACAATCCCCATCCTGCTGTATTATCACTAATTTAAAATATGTAAATATTTNCATAATTTATAACATGTACTTAATAAAATATCTTCTATATCTGGGCAATCTAAAATTAATAATAATCTAAATACTTGTACAAATACTATTTAATTCATAATAGCCAGGGGAACATACACATTATAATCCTTTTAATATTCTATTTAAAGATGTATCACAACTTAAACAACTATCAACTGTTCCTTGAAAACAAGTTTAACAGGATGAATGGCACTAAGAACATGATTTAGACACTGCATTATAAAATAATCCTGATGGACATCTACATGTTGATCCAACAATTTCAATATTACCAATATTATTACAAGTTAAACAATCATCAGAAGTAGGGCCAGTACAAGTGTTACAAAATTAATGACATCTTTAACATTAAGGATTCTCTAAAATTGAATAGTATCCATCAATACAAATACATTATTGATTTTACAATTTTCTATTATTTGTAACTAAACATTCTATACAATTGTTTGAACTTAAACATTAATTACATTCAATTGGACAATCAAAACATTGATTTGAATCTTCATATTGATTCAATTTACAAACACATCCTAATTTAGTTTATGTATAAGTAGATTAGCATGTTTAACAATCTATTTTAGATGTACATGTTAAACAAGATATTGGACAATCCAAACACCTATAAGTATCTATATCATAATATTAATTAATTTAACACTCTTCTTGTGAGAATTTTATAATATTTGCATCATAATCACTACTCCATTATGTACATGTAGTTTCATTTGAGCATTATAAACAATAAGGTTAGCATTTATGAACAGCGACATAATAATTATAAAATCCACAATAAGCTTTAATTGGTTCATTATTTGGGCCAAAGCATTCCCAACTTATTGTTAATGTACTTGTATTGTGATCTATCCTTTCATATACTCTTGCATATTTTATCTCACTAAAAATATTTGATTAAGTAAAATTTTCTCTTGATTTAGAAACTGGTGGATTGTTTTCAATTATATAAATGAATAAACCATCTGAAGGAAATGCTGGTCCACAAAATGTAAAAAATGCAATGGTAATCCCATGATGTGGGTAATCTATATTATGAATTCTTTAAAATTTAGCTTAAGCCCATATCAAAGGTCCTCCAAAAATTCTATATAGCCCTTAATTTTTATAAAGATTGAAATATGAAAAATATGTATCTGATCCTTTTAAGAAATTTGTCCCATTTTAAGAGATTAGTGTATATTGTGTGTATTATTCAGGATCGTGTGCTCCATCTAGAAAGTCATAAGCTAAATATTATGAGTCTATATATATATATAAAGTTGATACAAGGTGTTTCATCATCAAAATCAAAACATTAAGAACCATTTAATTTTTAATATCGTTCTGAACACTAACTGATGCATGTATTATTTTTATAATAATAGTATCCTGGTTAACAAATCTTACATTTAAATGATACTTCACACAATTAACAGCCGTATGGACAAAATCCTGGTGTAAAAGAAACTGATTACAATCCCCATCCTGCTGTATTATCACTAATTTAAAATATGTAAATATTTACGAATAATTTCCTATTGCTGAAAAAAGAAATGGATATTTAGGAAGGTCAACGTATGCAATTAATTCATATTGCTTATTTGAAGTATAATTTAAATATGAACTGTAGTCATTAGTTGAATAGATTTTAATATTATGTGTTTTAATTCCTGATTCATTTCTAAAAATTGAAGCAAAATAAGTATTGTTAATTAAAAACTATATTCCACAATTAAGGGGAATATCATTAAAAGTCAAAACTGTAATTTTAAACCCAACTAAATAAATTGAATTAGAGTAAGTTGATAATGATTTGAAATATCTATATATACCAGAATTAAACTTAAAAATTCCGTAAAAATAATAATTTATTATTGTTGGAGATGTATCTACATGTAACTGGTCATATATAACAAACCATTAAATCTACTCATAACTCATTATGTAATATTCAAATAATTGAACTGGATAAGATTAACAAAATCCATTATATACTAATGGAGTAAGTATATTACAAATATCTCTGCATCCATAATCTTTTTCATAATATTAATTAGCTGGGCAGGGTGGGCAAATGTTGTTTGTAGGTAATCCATAATAACATCTTATACATTAATTAAATTTTGGTCCTGTGCATTATTTACAAGATGGGTAACATATGGGACCTGAAATAAATATATTTCTAATTGAAACTTATCCATCATTTGTATTTGATGAAGTAAACTACAACTTACCATAACTTATATTAGGAATTTCAATTATAAATTAAACAGTTCTAATTTGATAAGCAATATCATCACAAAATCCAGTCGTCATTTCGTAATTTGTAGGAGAAGTATATTGGTATAAGTATTAAAATGAGTTTATCGTAAAAGTAACAGTTTCAGATAACCATGTACCTTGAAAATATAAATCCACAGCCAAAAAATACCCGTTATTAAATGTTCTACTATAATCATATTCGGCTGATGGATAACTACTATTTAGAGTAATATAGCATGTATAAGGTATAGAACAAGATATAAAATTTGCTAGTCCTTGATTGGATGGCAATTTAAATCCTTACGAAGAATAAGTTATTTTTGATTCATTGACAGTAAAAAACATTTCATCTTTATATAAGTGGTAGTATACAATTTTCCATTATGAATTCGTAACATCAATTAAGCTAATTAGGGTAATAATTATTGGAACACTCATTATTAAGAGTGATTATGAATTAATTAATGCAATAATATATTTGTTGAGATACACATTTTATATATTTATATGGATGAATAAGAATCAATATATTTTGAATATATGGATTATTAAATTTATTGTATTGATATGCTAAAAGATTCAATTTAAGGTGTAATTGAACTTTGAATAAATGGGTTGATTTTCAATAACTTGAATTCAAACATTAATTCTTTTTCTTAAGAAAGATAAAATAAAATTAAAATTAAGTATCGTTTATTCATTGAGATGAATACTAAGTGATATAGAACTCCAATAATCTATATATTACAAGTTAAGAAATAGTATTTCAGCTTATAATACCAAAATATTTAATTATTGAGGTGTTTTTTTTATTTTTTGTTTTACAAAGGTCTCATCTTATATATTTATTGATATTCCTGTAAAAGATGCACTAAAAAGTTCTATTAATAATCGAATAATGCACGAATGGTGGATTTGGAGAGGAGAAATGTTATGATAAAGAACAATATATTATGAAGTTACATTTTATGTTTGAGATTAATTCCATTAAATAAAGGAGTTAAAGGAGACACAAGGATTCATATTCTATGTAAGGGTATCAATCAAAAAAAGTGCTCATGTTCAAAAAGATGGAAAGATTTATTATAAATACCAGAAGAATCTTTAGATTTTAAAACAGAAATTAATAAAATAAGAATTTTAAGGTATATATGAAATTAGCTTGGATTTTAATGTCTATTATAAATTACATCCTATAATTATTTGCCAAAAATAATAGATATCACTTGTTTGTTTCTATTAGTTAATATTTATGGTATAGCAATACAAGAATTAAATTAATTCTCTTTTCTAAGCAGATTATCTATTAAGTTCGTTTTTATAATAATAATTAAATTCTACGAAAACTGATTTGAAAAACTAGAGAATTAAGAGATATTTTATGAAATATCAAATTAACATTGAGTATCTTCAAAATGAAAAAAAATAATAAAATAATATTTAATGGTAAAATTCAAGATTATTCTTTGCAATAAAAGACAATTTTCTAAAAAATATTCCCCAAAAAATTTCCATTATTGTTTAAAAAGCTAAGTAATTCAAAGTATTTTAATTAGTTTGGTTTGCCATAAGGCCATTTAGAGAAAGCTATTTAATAATCAAAAGAGTAAATAGTGTTAATCAAATCATTAAATGTTAGATGGTTTCACTTCTTATTTTAGGGTATAAGAGAAATAATAGTTCGAGTTCCATAGAGAATAGAAAGAGTAAATTATTAAGTCACCATCATATTTTTTCTATTTTATATCTCCAAACAAGCCATACTGTTTCATGTTGAATTATAAAATAAATTAGAAGCAGTTCCCAAAATTAAAATGGTAAAAAATAACAAAAACTATAGTTTTGGGTCATTTACTGAAGATAGGTTATTCAGACCTTAAGGATATGCATTTTAATTTGAAATTATTTAGAGTGAATCTAATAATAAATTTGATTTATATTTTTTCACCTAACAATTAATAAAGGTTTCTGTTAGAATAAAACTTATTCTATTTTACTTTTGATAAAGTTTAGAAATACTGATTATTATCTATTTTAATTTCACATTTTAATTATATATAATTTCTAATAAAAAATAGTCCTATAATATACTCTTTAAAATTTTAGTAACCAAAGATCTCATCTTTTCTAACTTTTTAGAACTAAGCAAGTTAAGATTCTGCGACTTTAAAGTAATCGATAAATCCTAAACTTCAAAATTTGTATCTAGCTTATGCTGATTATTGAATGTTTTTAAGTTGACTTCGAAACCTAAATTATCTATAATTATCAGAATATCTTTAACTGGATGATTTTATTGGGTTGAAGAATGTATATATATATATATATATGTTATTAGTGTATTTCCAAAAATGACATATAATTCTTTATAATTTTTATAGACGTAATATTAAATCTAATCTTTTTGATTACGTATATCATTTCTATATTGCCATTTCAAATTAAATTTCAAAGAATTAGATAAAATAAATAAATCTCCAGTAAAACTCCTCATATTCATGGATTCTAATTCTAAAAAATCTAATGAATTATCTAATTATTATCCTATTTCAATTACTCTTTATATTTCACAAAAGAATAAAGATAAAATTCTTTTTCACTAAATTCACCAAGAATAATGAATAGATTGGATGATATTTGATCTAATGAGAATAAGAATAGAAAAAATAATAATAAATTGAGATATTTTGAAGAAAACTGAATAATTAATTTATTATTAATCAAGGTTTCGTTTTATGTGAAATTACTTTTGTTAATGAAATATTTAATTTTATTAAAAATAATTAAAGTAGGATATAAAAAATATTTAAAGAAATATATTATACTCTGAAAACTGGGAAAATACTATATGGAAGAAATTATAAAACAACTTTTCGAGCGAGAGCTATGATTTTTTTAATTAAATTAATACCAATATTAATGCCAAAAAATATGTGAATCTTTTAATAATTAGGAATTTTTGTTCATAAGAAATATTTCTACAATGATAAGCAGCTGTATTTATATACTTAATATATCATCAGATTGTGTTGGTAAGTGAAATTGATTCATACTTTAAGTATTAAATTAATAACGAAAACTAAAAATGCATTAAATTTAAATTTAAAAGAGACTGATTATATTAGAGATAAAATTAAATCAAAGGTTCTTTAGATAATGAATCGAAAAACACAGATTAATAAATAGGCTATTATTTCTTATTTCATTTATAATCAGATAGATTTCTAAATTATCATAATTCTACAGTTGCAAAATCAATTACAGTATTTTATTTCACATTTATTTATCAGCTGTGAAGATTGAATTTAAAGAAATCCTAAAATTAAATAATCATCTTTATTATCACAAAAATATACTAAAAATAAAATCTTCACTAAATAACCTATTTAAAAATTAATTTCAAAATTTGATTTATAAAAACAATTCTTATTGAGTTTGAGCTTGTGATTAATTTTCCGATAGATATTTAGAGATTAGATGTATATGGTATATTTTGAAATGACTTTCATTTTATTTTAGATTTTTTTCATAAATTTCATTTAAAGAAATTTAGAGAATAAATTAATGAATTATCACATAGGAAATTTAATTTCTTTTGTATAAAATCTTAGTTTAATTTAAAAAAGATTTTAATTTATTTATTTGATGGCTTGAATACTATTTAAAACTTTAAAGCAAAATAATTACAATTAGAAGAAAATTTGATACTAAGTAAATGAAGTCAATCTCCCAAAAAATTTTATTATAAATATATCCCAATAAAAATCTACATACTGTATTCAACTAATACATATCTAAGTGATTTCGATGATCTTAATCAGAAGAATTAGTCATTTTTGTATCTTGTTTATTCTATCTAAACAAAGACATTAATATTAATCTCAGCTTTAATATGCTTGATGAAAATATTAAATTTAAGTGTCTTAATTAAATAACTCCAATCAATGATATTTTATCCAATATTAGAGTATTCATCTATATTTAATTTAATTTCAAAATATTGGATCACTTTTATTTAAATTCTTTTGATCAAAGTCTTTTTTAACTCAGTTAACATTTAATCTCTTCCAAATAATTCTAATCGTATTATTGCTTTTAAATTAGATTGGTAAGAATACACCAAGAGATATC